AGTGTTTGATAATGAGTTTATTGATGCAATGATGTTTACAAAATTATGAAATTCTCGTCTGTCAATTGTAGAAACTGTCGTATGCATGTCTTTTGCTTAGATAATAGTATCAATATATTGAAATATTGTTGTTTTATAATTTTAGAATTTAAAATTAATTTTCGTTGACGTTTTCTCCATATGTGATATTAATGATTAATGTAAATTTTCTGTAAGATATATGGTATTTAAGTTTTGATTGACACCCAGCTGACAAAAATTCTAGTCGCCACCGAGTTCGAGTTTGACTTGGTAAGAGTCGTTCGAATCGGTTCGTTAAATTTTTATTGTGTTAAAATTCGGAACTCGTAAAATCTTTATTAAATTAACATACTAAAACTCAGCTTGCTATAGCTATCGTTTAACAGTTATTTAAATAATAGAATAAATATTAATTATATATTAAATAATAAAAATATGTATAAAAAAAAGGATAAATATGTTATTTATACTTTAATAAGGTAAATAAATAGCTTAAATTTAACTTATTATTTAATATAGCTAAGCTATAGATAATATATTTATATTTGATAGATATTGACTTTTTTTTAATATGTTGTATATATAATTATATTAATTAAAATTTCAATTGTAACTTTAATCCCATACGCAAATATAAATTATAATTTATTTTAATTCTCGTTAAGACTCGTAAACAAAGTCAAGCTAAGCTAAGCCAGACTAACATTCGAAAGGCTCTGCTGCAGCTTAGCTTAGCTTAGCTCGGCTTGGGCTCATTTGTAACCCCTAAGTTACACAGTCTATTATATCAAATCCAATAAAAGAACATTTGGGCTATGTTTGTTTTGGATAGACTGAAAAGAGAGATTGCAATCCATCATACTATTAATCATTAAGATATATAGTCCACTGAACTTTTTGGTTAGAAATAATGTATATTACGTGTTTGTTTTCTTTGTATAAGATTAGATTATTTGGAAAAGACTAACGCTCGTTTGCAAGTTGGCGTTGGGGACTTTTTTGGCTTATTTAGCCACAAAAGACCAAAGAATAGGCGGATATTTAGCAACAAAAAACAAAACCATCACGATCCAACTCATAATCATTACACTCTTCTCTTACAAAAAAAGTCAAAAAGTCCTTCCCAAATCAGGTTTTTTAGCTCGAGGCTAAAATAGCCAAAAAAAACTGAAAAATCAACCCACTATCCAAACCAATCTCAAATCAATGTTTGCATTGAGATATTATGAAGAAGGATAAATACTAATAGACTTATTTTACCATTTTTAATTAGTGACTAAGTAAATAAAAAAAACAATACTAAATATGTCTTTAATATTTAATTCTTTTTTTGGTAGATTAAATAAAATTTTTTATTTTATTTTTTAAAAATTAAAAAAAAAATATTTTTTTTTTAATTAAATAAACCCAAAATATCAATAAAAATTTACATTATTTTAAAATAAAATTTTTAAGATAAATTATTTTAAAATAATAATATTAATAATGAAATTAAATAAACCCCTCGTTTTTGATTTCATTATTTAATCCCTGAAGTTTCAATAAGATATCAATTCCAATAATTCTATCCAATTATGTTAAACTAAGCCTATCACCCGTGCTGATGCACGAGATAATTTTAATATATTGTATTTCTTTTTAGATTTTTTTAAATATATAAATTAGGTTTTTTAAGACTTTTTAATAAAATAAATTTACAATCTTATCACTAACCATAGTGTATGGGAGAGTTGAAAAGGGTTACTGCAGGTAATATACACGATTGTATCATTAGATTATTTGTATGAGGTGATTTTAAATGGCTGATCAGAAGTTTTTGACCCAAATCAAAAAGCAAGCATGTGGAAAGATATGGGATTGAAAAAAAGTTTAATAAATACTGTCAGGAAATTTTGACCAAATTATTAAATGCTGAGTTTTTTTTTAAATAAAAAATTTTAAAAATTTCATATTTGGGATATTGAAACTCCACAGGCCTTGGGCGTTTAAAAACCCCAATTTTCTTAATACTATAGTGCTAACATATCACCTGTTTGCTATGCACGGATTTGTGCTTTACAATTATCTATATATGTGAATTTGCGATTTTTAAAATGTCTTTTTTTTTAAATGCCTTTTTTTTTTTCTTTTTTTTAGATATTATATTAAAGTTTAATATTTGATAATAATTCATATGGCGGTTAAACTTTTCAAGAAATTAAAGTACTTTTTTTTTATGTATGATTATATTAAAGTTTAATATTTTGATATAATCATATGTATTGGAACTTTTCAAGAATTTTTTTATGCTTGTTCTTAATACATTAAAGTGTTATTATGAGCGATAATAATCATATGTGTTGGTATTTTTCCAAGAAATTCAGTGTGTTGATTCAAACGATTTTTTCTTTATGTTGTTTAATAATTAAAGTGTTATTATGGGGTAGGAGCTTGGGGAGTTGGGAGAAGTTAATAAATGCCAGTTTTTTTTTTTTTTTAAAAAAAAAAATCAAAAAATCAGAAAATTAGATGAAGATTGGACGCGTGCCCACAAGGCTTGGGGTAAAAACCCCCTTTTATTAATAGTATAGATTATAGAATAGCCTATCACCCGTGCTATGCAAAGGTAATTATAGATATTTATATTTATTTTAATTTTTTTTAATAATAAATTATGTTTTTTTAAGATTTTTATAAAAATAATTTAACAATCTTATCACTAACCATAAGTGTACAGAAGAAAATTAAAAAGGTTACGTGTAGTAACTATGCATGAGCTGTGATCTTATAATTATTGATGAGGGGATTTTAAATGTTAATCAGATTTTAACCAAATCAATTAATGCAGCATGTGGATTGGAAAAGGTAATTAAATGCTGATCGAGAAGATTTTTGACCAACTCAATAAATGCCTGATTTTTTTTTTTAAATAAAAAAATTTAGAAAATTAAGATTTGAAAAATTGGAATGTTCCCATAAGACTTGGGGTTTTAGAAATCCCTCTTTTCTTAATTATATTTACAATTATCTATACATGTGAATTGCGATTTTTTAAATGTCTTCTTTTTTTCCTTATTAATATATATTAAAGTTTAATATTTGATTAATAATGATGTGATTTGGATTTTCAAGGAATTAAATGTCTTTTTTTATAATTATATTAATTTTATGTTACAATATCTATACATGTGAATTGCGATTTTAAATGTCTTTTTTTTATTTTTTTTAAATTTCTTCTTTTTTTCATTTTTATATTATATTAAAGTTTACATATTTTGATAATAATCAGTTGTTGATTTTTTCAAGAAATTAAATGTGCTTCTTGTTTTTTATTTATATTATATTAGCTGTATCACCCGTGCTATACGATGAGATAATTATAGATATTTATATTTGTTTAGATTTTTTAATTATATTAAATTATGTTTTTTAAGATTTTTTTCTTTATCACTAACCATAATGTATGGGAGAAAGTGAAAAAGGATGCAGTAAATTGATACACCGAATTGTATCGTTATAATATTTGTATGAGGGATTTTACAAATGCTGATCAGGAGATTTTTGACCAAATCAATAATTGCAGGCATTAGAAAAGATATGTGGATTGAAAAAAAATAATAAATACTAATCAGAGGATTTTGACAAATCAATAAATGTTTGAGTTTTTTTTGAAAATAAAAAATTTTGAAAAAAAATTCAGATTGGGATATTGAAGCTCCTATAGGGTCTTGCGGGCGTTAAAAACTCCATTTTGCTTAATATATAGAAGATAGATAAGATAATCTTTTTCTTTTTATTTTTTTTTGTGATGGTTTCTATCGGGTATTTTTTTTTCAATATTTAAGATGGAGTTGTGAGTATCTTTTTTTTTTTTTTAAATTTAGATTTATCTGTGATTTCCATATTGTTTTAATTATTGATTATTTAGGTAATTATGATGTGAGTTAGAATTGATAGACATGGGTGGTTTTATTGATTTAAAGTTTATTAGAATAAACTTAAAGATTTTTTTTAGTTTTTTATTTTTTTGTTAGTTTATATATTAATATATTAAAATAAATGTAGATGATCTACAACTTAATAGAAGAATATTATCTGATTTTCTGGGAAGGAGAAACATGAATGCAAGTTTTAATATTTTTTTTGAAAATTTGTGAGATGAGATTAGTGATGGGGAATGTTATGAAATAGATCACCGAGACCACTCTTGCCTAGATCACACACCTTGGTCTTTTTGTTATTAAATAAATAAATCAGTCAATAGTTTTTTTTAATCTATTTTGTAAATTAAAAATCAATAATTTTGAAAAATTGATTAATTTATCCCATTAAGTGATTTAAAATTTTGGTAGATATACATAAAAAAAATACATAATTATATTATTTAATCATAATTCAAATTTAGATGTTATATCTTTTTGAGATCTATAGCTAAATTCTTATCTTTTTATTTTTTATTTTTGTGTGTAACCATAGTATATGGGAGAAATTGAAAAGGGTGTTGTAATAATTATGAGAGAAGTCAAAAGGGATTGTGGGTTGAGAGAAGTCAATAAATGCTGAGGTTGGGTTGGGAGAAATCAATAAATGTTGAGGTTTTTTTTTTTTAAATCAAAAAATTAGAAAATTAAGATTAGGAGATTGGAGCTCCCACAGGCCTTGGGGTTAAAAATCCATTTTGCTTAATATATAGTATAGATTAACGTTTAATATTTTGATAATAATCATATGTGTTGGACTTTTCAATAAATGTTTTTTATACTTGTTCTTAATGCATTAAAGTGTTATTATCAGAGATAATAATCATATGTGTTAAGACTTTTCAAGGAATTCATATGTGTTGAATTTTAAAGAATTTTTTTTTATACTTGTTTTAATGCATTAAAGTGTTATTACGAGGGTAAGACTTGAGGTTGTGAGAAGTTAATAAATGCTAAGAATTTTTTTTTTAAATAAAAAAATCAAGAAATTTAGATTGACAGATTGGAACTTCCACAAGATTTGAGATTAAAAATCCCTATAGATGCAATTAACGGAAAAGGGGTATTTTTGTCATTACACTGATCATTATGTAACAAAATTTATTACAAATTTATATTTAATAAAAAAATAAAATAAAATAAAAATTGAAACACACCCTCTCCTCCCCCTCACTGCTGCCTATACCACAAACAAGTCGCTCAACCCGCAACCCATCTTTACATCTGCCTCGGCAGTCCTCTTCCTCCACCACTCCCCATCTCTCCTACCATCACTTTTCTCGAATCCACCATGGTTCACCCTCACACGCCACCGCCTCACTCAAATCCATCGCACTCCGCCCTCAGATATGCAGCCGCCTTTACTACACTACAATACATAGCAGTTTTAGATATCAAATGTTTTGATCTCTAAAAATAAAAAGTTTGTTACAAAAAATATTTGGAGTTTAATTTCCATCATTACGAGAATAATCGTTAAAAAATTATCTCGAAAAGTAAAAAATAACAACTATAATAACAAAATTTAAAAAATGTCACTAATAAATAGAGACAAAATAATTTAATCTCAAAATGATTTATTATTTTTTTTAAAAAAAAATTGATCTCAAAAGAAAAATAATTTTTCACTACTGTCCAATTTTTATTGCTAAAAATATAATAACGATATTTTTCACAATAAAAATATTTAGTTCCTAAAAAATAATTTTATTCCTAAATTTTAATCCCTAAAATTTCCTCAGATCTGCTACCTTCTTCGGATTCGTCACTCACCCATCTCCATTTCCTCAGATCTGCCATCCCTATCCACTGCCTCTCTCAATTCCGTTGCCTCTCCCCATCGTCTCCCTCAGATCTGTTAATCCTGTCACTACAATATAACTTATTAATCTCGTCAAAGAGAAAGAGATAGATAGAGAAAAAGAGAGAATTGATTTTGTAGATCTGGACAATCTCAGTTGTCGGAATCGATTCATCGACCGCGACCAATGGAGGTAAACGTGGAGAGAGCATAGAGGCGACTGTCGTAGTAAGAAACTGGAAAGAGAGGGAGGTGACAATTGGTTAAAAAAGAAAAACATGAAAAATGGAGCACCAGAGGAAGAACATTGACAGAGAGGTAGAGTATATAGGTAGTTGTGTAGAGATGATGAGAGTGTGATGGTGGTATGATCCCATGTGGTTTAATGTACTATAGCTTTCATGAAGGTTGGTCTTGATTTATTTGATGGTTGATAGACCCTGGTAGGGATTTGGTGTGGGCAAAATTAAAGTTGAGATTAAAATAAAATTAAAACTAGAAAAGTAGTTCCATTTGTTCTATTAATTTTTTTTCCCTAATAAACAAGTTAATAGAATTGGGTGGAGGATTGGAATTGAAATCTTATTGTAATTTTTAGGTTTGAATTGATAAAATTAAAAATGTAGGATTTTATTCTTGTATATTTATTATTTTTTAAAAATAATTTGATTTGTTAATCAGGTCAAATTCTAAGGTTTTATTTATTTATTTATTATTATTTTTTTAAACTTATCCAAAAAGAAAAGAAATGCACATTAAAAAAATAGAATCATCATTCACTAATATAAGAGAATGGTGATTCCATTAAGAAATTCTAAAAATTGTCATTCCAGTTTTACCCAAAATTATTCTAGCAAATCAAACACTACTTACCGATTGGATAACAAGCGCTAAGAGGGTGCTTATTTGAAGGGATTGGGACATGGGATTGGATTTCATCTCTAACACCTCTAATGTCACGATCCCATTCCGCCCCACTAGAATGGTGCCATGATGGCTAGTAATCCGAGATTACCAAAGGTCAACTTATAAAGATTCACACACAATCAGAGTATACATATGGGGCTTACATGTGCGGAAGCAATAAATTTAAATCTAAGTAGTCCATAAGAGCTGTGCATAGATCAAATGAAATGACATACATCTTAACATAGTTTTACAACTTGAATATAAAATAAAATGGAGTACATATTACATCTTGATCAAAAAGTTTCTCAAGCCGAAATATACAAAAGAAATGAATTACAAACTATGAAGCATAATCATCAAGATGATACAAAACATGAATCAAAACATCTTGCAAATAACATCTTAGGCGTCACCGCCTAGTTGCTTGCCACCTACATATATATAAAGGGGAGGGTGAGCTTGGATACTCAGTGAATGATATAATTAATAAAGGTTTGAATGAATGATATCTGAGATCTGTATCAAAACAATACATATAATAACTTGTACAAAGCATGAGATGAATCAAGTTCATCAATCAAAGTTTTTCAAAGCTTCTTGGATGTTAATAACATCTACATAATACCAAAGGATGACATTCCGGACAAAACAAGGGAATAATCGTCCCGGAATCGAAGCACACCCGTTTACGACCGTCGGTGGCCGACCCGGAATCGATTAGACAACCCATGCGGAAAACCGTCAGTGGCAAAACAAGGGAATAATCGTCTCAGAATCAAAGCACACTGTTCATGACCGTCAGTGGCCGACCCGAGATTGATTAGACAAACCCACCCGTACAAGACCGTCGGTGGCAAAAGAGATATCTCAACAAAGGTGCTACATAAGCTTAACGTCCCCTAGCACGAAAGGACGTTCCAAGAATGTCATCAAAACAAACATAATACTTGATACAAAAACTAAGAATAATCATTCATACTTGAACAAATACTTTTTCAAAACGAAACAAAGCAAAGCTTTTATCAAAACATTGTAACATAGCTTTATTAAAAATACCACTCACTTAGATCTTTGGGTGTAGGGATTAAGGCAAGAATCCAAGACCTACAATCATATAGCAAAGTCTATTGAATGCATTTCAAGAAGACACGAAGGAATGCTCAAAGATGGTTATTTGATGGTTGATAGACCCTGGTAGGGATTTGGTGTGGGCAAAATTAAAGTTGAGATTAAAATAAAATTAAAACTAGAAAAGTAGTTCCATTTGTTCTATTAATTTTTTTTCCCTAATAAACAAGTTAATAGAATTGGGTGGAGGATTGGAATTGAAATCTTATTGTAATTTTTAGGTTTGAATTGATAAAATTAAAAATGTAGGATTTTATTCTTGTATATTTATTATTTTTTAAAAATAATTTGATTTGTTAATCAGGTCAAATTCTAAGGTTTTATTTATTTATTTATTATTATTTTTTTAAACTTATCCAAAAAGAAAAGAAATGCACATTAAAAAAATAGAATCATCATTCACTAATATAAGAGAATGGTGATTCCATTAAGAAATTCTAAAAATTGTCATTCCAGTTTTACCCAAAATTATTCTAGCAAATCAAACACTACTTACCGATTGGATAACAAGCGCTAAGAGGGTGCTTATTTGAAGGGATTGGGACATGGGATTGGATTTCATCTCTAACACCTCTAATGTCACGATCCCATTCCGCCCCACTAGAATGGTGCCATGATGGCCAGTAATCCGAGATTACCAAAGGTCAACTTATAAAGATTCATACACAATCAGAGCATACATATGGGGCTTACATGTGCGAAAACAATAAATTTAAATCTAAGTAGTCTATAAGAGCTGTGCATAGATCAAATGAAATGACATACATCTTAACATAGTTTTACAACTTGAATACAAAATAAAATGGAGTACATATTACATCTTGATCAAAAAGTTTCTCAAGCCGAAATATACAAAAGAAATGAATTACAAACTAAGAAGCATAATCTTCAAGATGATACAAAACATGAATCAAAACATCTTGCAAATAACATCTTAGGTGTCACCGCCTAGTTGCTTGCCACCTACATATATATAAAGGGGAGGGTGAGCTTGGATACTCAGTGAATGATATAATTAATAAAGGTTTGAATGAATGATATCCGAGATCTTTATCAAAACAATACATATAATAACTTGTACAAAGCATGAGATGAATCAAGTTCATCAATCAAAGTCTTTCAAAGCTTCTCGGATGTTAATAACATCTACATAATACCAAAGGATGACATTCCGGACAAAACAAGGGAATAATCGTCCCGGAATCGAAGCACACCCGTTCACGACCGTCGGTGGCCGACCCGAAATCGATTAGATAACCCACGCGGAAAACCGTCAGTGGCAAAACAAGGGAATAATCGTCTCGGAATCAAAGCACACTGTTCATGACCGTCGGTGGCTGACCCGAGATTGATTAGACAAACCCACCCGTACAAGATCGTCGGTGGCGAAAGAGATATCTCAACAAAGGTGCTACATAAGCTTAACGCCCCCTAGCACGAAAGGACGTTCTAAGAATGTCATCAAAACAAACATAATACTTGATACAAAAACTAGGGATAATCATTCATACTTGAACAAATACTTTTTCAAAACGAAACAAAGCAAAGCTTTTATCAAAACATTGTAACATATCTTTATTAAAAATACCACTCACTTAGATCTTCGGGTGTAGGGATTAAGGCAATAATCCAAGACCTACAATCATATAGCAAAGTCTATTGAATGCATTTCAAGAAGACAAGAAGGAATGCTCAAAGATGGTTGTGCAGTGCATTCTTAAAACAAGCTTTACATGAATGAAAATGTTTCCAGCATTTTTTTCCAAAACCAAGTCAAGGCAAAACATGTTGGAAGTTAAATCACTGTTTTTCATCTAGGAAAAACATGCTGGGTACCAACCAGGTCTTGGAATGGATGCACAGAGATGATCTAGGCAAAAATGGCCTAGCTGGGTGAACTCAGGGGGTCTTGGCCAAGGTCCCACACCTTTTGGCCGAGGTGTGGTTATGTAGGCTTCAGTGTGCAGCTGCCTGCCGAGGTGTTACAAGGTGCCAGCAAGGGTGTACCATGGTCGGCCTAGGTGTGTGGTGGTTGGCCTAGGTATGCATGCAAGATAGACTAATGGTGCAAGCGATCATGCAAGGTAGGCCAAGGTGAGATACGATGCTTGGCCTAGGTGTGAGATTTAGGCAAGAGTGGGTCTCAGTGACCACACTTAAGCAAAGGTGAAGTCTGGAAATCTGGGTTTCCTCCCTTGAAGAACATGAATGCTAGATTCATAACTTTTATTCCAAAATCTAAGATTTCATGATATGAGTTCAAAAACATGGACCCGGGTACCCATACTTGAAGATTCCATGAAAACAAACACAAAAACATGGAACTTGTTACAAACTTTCGGATCAAAACATGGTTTTTCTTCAAGAACACAAGAATATCATTTTCTCTTTCTAAAACCAAACTTTAAATCAATGCATGACTTATGAATCATGCTAGATCATGCAATGTGATTAGATCAACATAAAGAACGACAAGAGTAGATCAAGAATCTAACCTCAAAATGCAAATCCAACGGTTCAAACTCTAAGGATCAAGCTCGGAAATCCAGTTCTCTTTCTAAGAACTTCTTCCTCTTCTTCCTAGAGCTTCTCTCTCTACAAGGCTAGGATATGACAAAATGATATGGGTTTCTCAGCTAGCACTTGACTTAACCCTCTGCTGGGACGCGTGGCAACGCCGGATTGGATAATCTCAAAAAGGTGCCAGAATGACAAGACAAGAGTATGACAAAGTGTGTTTAACAAGTAAGGTGACATGGGTACTCTGGCAGGTAATGATCTCGGATTAGGACAAGGCTTCTGGCAAAAGGTTTCACTGATCTCGGCTAGGAAGGATAACACTTAACCTAGCTGTGCCACACCTCGGCCTAAATGTGCCACACCTCGGTCTAGGTCATACCAGTCCAGGAACAAGATCACTAGGTGCAAGGATTAAAGATCTAGGACGCCTAGATGATAATATCTCCACCTAGATGATACACACCTCGGCGTAGATGATGACATCTCGACCAATATGCCTAGGTGATGGTGGAGGTCAACCAAGGTGGTTCCAAGATGGTCCTAGGTGTAAGAGGTTCAAAGGTGTGACCTAGGCTTAACATGACCTAGGCTTTAGACAGCAAGCAAGGAGCAAAGCATGCATATAACACTTAGGCAAAACACATAAGTACAAAACAAGACAGACACTTTTACTTAGGCAAAACAAGTCAAAGTCTACAAATGCAAGCTTAACAAGACAAAATCATGCGAATGCACATGAACATGACTAAGACAAGAATGTGGGTTATTACATCTAATTTGTTGTTTAAGTTGAAAAGTGAATGTTGGACTAATAGTATGACTTCACTAATTATCTATCATATGTGGGATTATTTTATCCTGGGGGGTGGTAGGATATAAAATGTTTG